TGAATTACAAAAATGATTATTTGTCCTGCTTTGAAATAATACACATAAAATACTTTGTATACGTATACATAGTAAAATTATCAATGGCCATCAATAACCCGTCCTGGGAATAATTTGGACAATTATTAAAACAATAAAGAAATATTTAAACGTGCGAGAATCTTAGTTTAAAGATAAAGAGCAGAGCCCAGCAAATAACTTTAAAACCAAAGTTTTTAAAGCTATTTGCTGGGCTCTGCTCTTTATCTTTAAACTAAGATTTCCGCCTGGTGTATCAATTGCCACAGTGCGAGAATCTACCAAAACATTTATATATTTAACTGTCATGAAAGCGGAGAGCCTTCATACTCCCGAGCAAAACTCGCAACTAAATTGTGCCAAAAAAAAAATTACGCTACCAGACTTGACAAATAAAAACTCGCTTACCTTTTCTTCAATATATTCATAAAACAGATGAAAATAGTCCACTTATATTCCAAAAGGAGCAGTTTTAATAATCATAGTGCGGTTTTTGCCATATTGTTTATAGTAAAATTCTCACACTATACTACCTAAGAACATGGCCGCCGCTCTCTCGCGGGTGTATGCAGGCCTATGTCGGCACTACCGCCTAACATCAAAAGAGTGTCCCTTCTGGTTCTACTCCTTATTCTGTGCTGTAACTGTGTGATGTTTTCAAACTGAATGTCATGCTATATTTTAAATTAACAGAAAAATATTAATTTCATTGCACTGAGAATCTTAATAATACTTTTTTAGGAATATAACATAAAACTAATGTAAAATGATCAATGGCCATCAATAACTCCCATACTCAGCTTGTTCGCAGGTATTCTCCCACCTAAAAAAGTTCCACTCCTCATACAATTTCAAATTTACTAAGACTATCAGATTAACATCATACAAAAATTATAATAATGAACTCTTTATATATAAAATCTAGTTATCTACTGACATAATTACAGAAACCTGCACTAACACCCGTATTCTAAAAGCTCACTCACACTCATACTCAATGCATGAGTGGAGGTTCAATCTGGGCTCTTGAGTGTCAGCGCTGTTTTTCAATAGCTGCCGGGAATGTGAATATAGTCACGTAGTAACAGTACAACACTAACCCTCCAGCTATTCAAAAACAGCAATGACACTCGAGAGAAGTTCAGACTGAACTTCCACTCATTGAGTGTGAGTGAGCTTTTAGAATATGGGCGTAAGACTACTTTCAAAACCATGGCAACAGTACATAAAACTGTTACCAAAATTCACCTATGTTATGCAGTATTTCATGCTCTTTCCAATGATGTACTGATTGCGGCACAAGCTCACCAATGTCAAAACGGCAAGGATTAATAAGGTGGTAATTACTTTTTTTTATAAAATTACATTGTGCAAACATCTATATTCCGCAAGCGTTTGCCCCAAAATCTAGTATTTCATGCTTTTTCCATTGATGTACAGTAAATTAGGGCACAAGCTAACAAACATCGAAATAGCAAGGATTAATAAGTGCTAATTACTTTTCTGTATATTACATGCCAGACTACAGAATCACAATGTGCAAACATCACTATTCAGCAAGCGTTTGCGCAAAATTTGTCTTCCCAATTCTTCCCAAACTTGGCTATATTATGCAGTATTTCATGCTCTTTCCAATGATATACCGCAAATTGGGGCACAAGCTCACCAATGTCAAAACGGCAAGGATTAATAAGGTGGTAACTGCTTTTGTTTATAGAATTACATTGCACAAACATCTATATTCCGCAAGATCTGTATTCCTAATTGTTCTGAAACTCAACTATATTGTGCAGTACATATTTCATGCTCTTTGTAATGACGTACAGCAAATTGGAGTACAAGCTCACCAACGACCATTATATATGACATTAATGGAGCAAATCTTTAAAAACTGGCTGTGTTAAATGTCACTCGATCATGTTGACGTGTCGTCCTTTGTCGATCATTGTAAATAAAATGTGTTGTAATTGATGTAAATGACCCTGTGAATGGGGCAATAAGCCCCGTAGGGATCACCAATCATTAATGACAAAGCTAGTAAATAAATAAAATGGCAAGGATTAATAAGGTGCTTATTGCTTTAATTTGTTTATAGAATTACACTCATTTCTTTTGTTTATATATTAAATTTAGATAATAGAATTACACTGTGCCAACATCTATATTCAGCAAGCATTTCAGCTGCGTTTGTACAAAATTGGCCTCTCTCATTGTTTCGAAACTCAACTATATGGTGCAGGAGTTCATCCTCTTTCCAATGCATGATATACACTAAATTGGGCCCAAGCTCCCAAACGTCGGAATGGCAAAGACTAACGAAAGAAACTTAATCCTAATGATTATACAAAGAAACGCAAGGGCATGGACCCTGCAATAATCATATAGTGAGCTAAATTGCGATGCCATTTATACCGCGAAGCTAGCTTCAAATATTTTATAGCAATAAACGAAGGAAATTTGGGATCACTAGAATTCGTATATTACCACGTAAGCATCTTTTCGAAAGGCTGATTATACCATGAAATGCTTTCTGCTGTTATTAATTCTGTTCTGTATTGGAAAGAGGGTAACTCTCTCCACTGTTAATCAAATTTATATGAACCGTAGCCATAAATTTTGCGATAATAACTTAATAACCTGGAAAGTATACTGGAACATATTCACATTTTTGAAAGTGTTACATATCATGAAAAATCTGAGGTTTTTGTGCTTGTGCCATGTTATTGTTATTACTCGTGGAAGCGGAATGACATAACTACATTATACTTAAATTTTAACAATAGCCTACCATGTTTGCTGAATTTCGTCAAATATCGATATTGAAATTAAAGTTTATTAATCTAAAACATACTGATCGAACAAGTAAATGCAGTGTCTTAAATGTTCAATTTCTCCCACAAAGAAGCTTATTTTCCTATTTTATGCACATCATACGATAGATACGTTCCTTCTATTAACTGTGGTTGCATGCATTGCTCATGTTACTGCTAATTTAAAGTAAAAATATCTTAAAAGTAGCCAGAAAAGGGGTTCAAATAATCTACTTTTGCATAATTGAATACAGTTGAATGTGAGATCCAATCTAAGGCCGAATCTGGGGCCCAATCCGCGGCTACCTTCACAGTGCTAAAACGATCTAAGCGAAGGCATGGCTGTAAATCTACTTACGAAGTTTTGAACATTCAACAGAGCGCTATAAACCTACGCGCACTTAATATAGTCATAGTTAATGACCCGAACACAAAAACGGAAGCCGTCTCAAATTTCAACACTTTCATTTATGACATATATGTCTCCCTTGGATGCTTCAAAATTTCTCCCATTTATACATTAGTCGTCTATTTCCCTTACATATAATTGAGTGCACACATGACGCCCCTATACAGTAAATCTACCCAACCGAATTGGTGTTATTACAGTAAGAAACTGTTGCTTGCAGAAATAATAGCCTACAACGAAGACTTTTCTGTCAATGCTGTGTGATAAGTTCAGCAAAATTCAATTTTTATTACCTCGAACATGTCTGTCAAATGTGATATTTTGCCCAACACTTTGAATTACGTTTCCCACATGAGAACCGCATTGTGAGATATCATATATATTCATATTATATTTTTACTAGTATTACCTCGAACATGTCTGTCAAATGCGTTTAAATATATTTTGCCAAATACTTTAAATTGCGTTTCCCACATGAGAACCGCAACGTGAGATATCATATATTCATATTATATTTTTATTTATTACGTCCAACATGTCTGTCAAATGCGTTTAAATATATATTTTGCCAAATACTTTGAATTACGTTTCCCACATGAGAACTGCAATGTTAGATATAACATTATATTTTTATACACATACTATAGTTGGCTAAAGTGTATGTAAGTAATAATAAAATATAGCAATGTAATATCTAATATAAGCATCCTACACCGAATGACACCCCGCGACCATCATACACCATCTGTACCATCTTCACCATCTGACAGCTCTTTCCTGTATAACCACCCTACACCATCATACACCATTGGACAACCATCTGACACGCTTCGACCATCATACACCATCTGACGACCATCTGACACATTTCGACCATCATGCACCATCTGTACCATCTTCACCATCTGACAACCCTTCCCTGTATAACCACCCTACACCATCATACACCATCTGACAACCATCTGACACACTTCGACCATCATACACCACCATACACCATCTGACAACCATCTGACACATCTCTACCATCATACACCATCTGACAACCATCCGACACATTTCGACCATCATACACCATCTGTACCATCTTCACCATCTGACAACCCTTCCCTGTATAACCACCCTACACCATCATACACTATCTGACAACCATCTGACACACTTCGACCATCATACACCACCATACACCATCTGACAACCATCTGACACATCTCTACCATCATACACCATCTGACAACCATCCGACACATTTCGACCATCATACACCATCTTCACCATCTGACAACCCTTCCCTGTATAACCACCCTACACCACCATACACCATCTGACAACCATCTGACACACTTCGACCATCATACACCATCATATACCATCTGACAACCATCTGACACATTTCGACCATCATACACCATCTGTACCATCTTCACCATCTGACAACCCTTCCCTGTATATAACCACCCTACACCATCATAACCATCTGACAACCATCTGACACACTTCGACCATCATACACCATCTGAAAACCATCTGACAACCATCTGACACATTTCAACCATCATACACCATCTGTAGCATCTTCACTATCTGACAACCCTTCCCTGTATAACCACCCTACACCATCATACACCATCTGACAACCATCTGACACACTTCAACCATCATACACCACCGTACACCATCTTCACCATCAGACATCAGATGCCTGTATTGGACATTACTCTGAATACCACAAGGCAGTGAATGAGGCTTGTTTCTCCGAGACGATGAAAGATCCAATCCTTTTGAAAAATAAGAAAGAGCTCCTGTGCATAGCAAGACAAAATATTGACAACTCCGGCTTCCAATATAAAAAGGGGAAATCAAGGTCAACCATGTTTGCAACTCCAGATTCTTCAACATGTGGTAGCACAAAGAAAAATGTCACCCGCAATCTTTGCGAGAAGCGTCTTGAACAATTGCGAGAAGATTTAAAAGAAGTTGATCTGCAGATAAGCTTTTCTTTGCAGCAAAGAGATAATTGTTCAAATGTCCACAATTTTAGCAAAGCAGTAAAAGTTTTGCAGCAAGTTGACGACCTCCGAAAGAAAAAAAAGAAAATACCAATCTGAATTATATTTGCTTCATAGTAAAGAGGCAGCAAGTAAGAGGGTAAAAAAGTGCATTAGCAAGAAGAAGAGATCCTCAACACCCCATACCTTACACCAGTTCCTGAATAACGCAGTCGCCCTACCACCTGTTCAGATCCAGCTATCAGAAAGCGAGTATCATGAAGATGAAGTTCCTCCAGATATTGAAGTTGCTGAAGATATTGAAGTCAATTCTCTGAAGAGTGACGAAGTACACGTTGTACTTGAAGAAGATTCCTGTAGATCCGATGAATCGCTGCCAATGAACTGCAGCCTGCCATTAGACCAGCCAACCTGCGTACCTGAAGAAAATGCAAATTTTTTAAGAGAACCACCAGTGAAGAACAGCTAGAAACACCTAAAAGTTCACTGGTGGTTAGTACAGATTTTGATGAAGAAAAATACGAAACTTTTGTTGCAAATGTGTGTTTCAAACTTAGTGACATCAGGCTTTGTCGTTTAGAAGATGGGCTGTATGTTTCTTTGATGTCTGTTGTTTCCTTAAAAGAGTTCATTATTTATCGCGGTGAATATTGTAAAAGGTGCCACAATACTCACTGCACAGAATGCCTTGTGTTAATTAATATGGCATCTTATATTTTGAAAGAAGGCGTTGCCAAAGTATCTGAAGTGTTCAAGACGCAATTTCCGAATAAAATTGACAAGTCTGACAAAGCAGTCCAGCGACTTTTACAGTTACCAGTGGTGATTGTGAAGGGGGAATTCCTGTTTGTAACCAAGAAAAGACCCGATGTCAACTACAAGATATTGTTAGAACTGCTTCCAAAGATGTTACCAGCAGAGAGAGAGGTTGGAAGTCGAATTAGCAAGGAGACCCTTAGAACATTATGTCAGTTAGCATCAACTGAATCAGATAGGAAATTATTAAAATATATAGCCACTTTGGGACAGTCTGCAAAACAAGCGAAATTAGCCTACGGTATTGATGACAATGTTAGAAAGGTTCAGCAGGTAAACCAAGCAATGTTGATGGCAAATGAAATCCAGAAATCGGTGATGGAGCTTGCGACTCTGGAAGATACAGCTCTTCTTAACTCCTTGGGCATACCACAAGACATTTCCAGCGAATCTGAGTCAGATGAATCGGATTGAAAGACTGATTATTTCAGTAGCGATTTAGAACCAGAATTAGAACTGAAGCAAACTACCACAAGATCAAACGTCTCACCTAACCTACACGCCAGTGAAACACCGCCAAATGAAGTATGCTTGTCGTGGTTGAAAGAGAGTAAGTTTAATTGGTTTTCATTTCATCACGAGTGTCTACTACGTTTAAAGCATTTGCGTGAAGATGTGTTTGATGAACTGCTGACTGTCTTTGCAAATAATCTTTCAGCATCCGGCCTAAACGAGGATGAACTGGCTCAGGTTTCGTATGAAGCATTCACTGAATATCAGTGTAGACAGCCTTTAATGATAGACGGTGAATCTGTATTTTCTGAGTCTGATTCCGAGGAAATTGAAGATCATGACGAAGAGTTTACCCAGTGGTGTAAAAATGGGGAAAAGCGTATCCAGGCAGTACGTCGGGCTATTAAACAAAAGGCAAAACGGACCATTGCAAAAGAAATAGCAACCCGAAATTGTTCTGAAAAGAAAGTGTCCAAAAAGAGCTAGCCGAATTGTTAAGGAACATCCTAATATCGGAAGAGATACCGAGGAATTTGTCAAATCGAAAAGAGTAGGAGCTGATGCTTGGCAACGAACGGGGGTGCTGACATTTGACGGTGCTCGCTCCAGGTGAAAGAAAGTTACCTACAAAAGTATTCAATGTCATCTTCAGGAAAAGTATAGCTGCAAAATAAGTTATGGAACTGTAGTCCAACTTTGTGTTATAAGAAGCAAGCGACGTTTATCTGCCAAGCGATATAAGGGAATCGCCAAAGTTACGTGTAGAAGAGCTTGTAAGGGGTTTGCGGTAAAACTTAACATAGATGCACACTGGAGTAGTGCATTTGATAAGGGAATCGATTTCATACAACTGAAAGACGGCAAGGACAAAGTGTTGCTGAATAGAGATGACCAAGCCGGTTTTCGTCTTGACACAACCTTCACCCATAACCAAGGCAAGTGTATCACTCTGGAAAGTCAGCCTTCACTTACTACGAGAACTGATTTTGTAAATAAATACCCATCTCTCCTTCAAACCACGTCGTATTTATTCTTGGATTCTGAGACGACCGAAAAAGCATGTGTTGGAATCGTGAAACCACATTTTACTTATGACAAGACACCCACTCAGCATTACATTGATTTAAACATGCTGGAGACGAAGTTACCTAATTACCTTATTGAGAAACCCATCGATTGCATACGAGTAGATGGAGCAGGGGACGAGGGACCGGCGCATGTAGAAGTACAGTTTCTGCGGACAGAACGACACCTTCTTAAGCAGAAGATATGCACAATTGTCACAACCAGGAACAGTGGTGGCTCCTATTTAAATCCAGTTGAGTTAATGAACGGATGTATTGCCAAAGCACATGCCAATATTTACATTCCATCAACTCTTGCCGGTGGTAATTCCAATGCTAGTGGCCTGGATGCAGATAAGCTCACAGAGAATGTGGACCTGGCTACGGAGGTCAATTCAATTTTATTTCATACGTTTACAAAAGATATAGTTAGACATTAATTACATCACAAAAAAATCATAATGGAAGGGGAAAAAAAAGGGAGTTAATAATTATGGTATTATGTCGTGTACAGTGGCCAAAGTAGCTGAGAAGCTTTCGAATTGGCCACCATTTACAAAATTGTTGTTTTGTGACTGTTTACATAATTGAGAAAAAAGAACATGACGTGTTTGGTGTGGCTGGATCAGTGTCTGGATTCTACGTTTGCCTTAGGATAAGTTTTCTTGTATATTTAGATTTAAATATTCTAACTGAAGTTGACTGCTTAATATGTAGGTCTTTCGTTTCCCAAATATTGGATGACGAAAAAAGAAAAGTGTGTTTGCCGTAATTTGTGCGCGCTTTTGGTCTGCTAAAGTTTTGATTTGCCGCGAATCTTGTATTATACGAGTGACAGGTAGATGTGATGGATATGGAGTTTGCAAAAACTGACGGTATTAAGTTGTTAAGGATTTTATATGTAAAAATTGCAATTTTCAATTTAAAAACATTGTCAACGTTGAGTATTCCCAACAGATTGAGGTAGGTACTGGCATCTTCTCTTTTATGCGCAAAGAAAATGTTTCATACACATTTATTTTGAGCAATGCGAATTTTGGATAGATGGGTAGTATAGGTATTTCCCCAGCTCATTATTCCGTAGTTAAGATATGGATAGATTAGGGAATAGTAGAGTTGTTTCAACATCTGTAGGTTCACATAATATCGCAATTTATTAAGGATGCCAGTGTTTTTAGATATTTTGCTTTTTATGTGGTTTATTTGCTGGCCCCACTTAAGGTGTTTATCAATATAGACGCCCAGGTATTTGATGTAGTCTTTTTGTTCAATCTCATGAATTCTGACATTTGATATTTGTTTTTTATGTGAACTAATGATCATGTAATTAGTTTTTTTAAAGTTAATAGCTAGTTTATTAGCTGAACAATAGTCAAGGATTTGAATAAATTCTTCGCTCATGATTTTAATTACATCTTGGACATTGTCACTGGAGTAGAAGACATTAGTATCGTCACCAAAAAGTCTAAATGAGAGTTTCGTAGAACAGTTTGGCATGTCATTAATATAAATCAGAAATAATAATGGAGCAAGCATTGATCCTTGAGGTAAACCGCATGTTAAGGTTAGCATGTCAGAATCGGTGTTATCTATATGTAGATACTGTTTTCGGTTGCTTAGGAAATCTCTAAACCAGGCTAGCGGGCCTCCACGAAAGTTTGTCGAGTAAAATTTTATGGTTGACAGTGTCGAATGCTTTGGATAAGTCCAGAAATAACCCGCAAGTAATTTTTTTTTCGTCTATTTTGTTTTTTAAGTAATCAGATATTTCGAGAATTGCTTGCTCCGTTGAGTGACCTTTTACGAAAGCCAAATTGGTGACTAAAAAGCAAAGAATGTTTTTCAAGAAATGATTCTAACTGTTTATGGACTAATTTTTCCAGTACTTTTGCAAAGGGAGAGAGTATAGAGATAGGACGGTAGTTTGTGGGATCAGTAGTTACTCTGCTTTTATAGATTGGTGTAACTCTTGCGATTTTTAATATGTCAGGTACAATGCCCTCTGAGATAGATTCATTGTATAAGTTCGTGATAATTGGGGCAATGATAAAAGTGCCGAGAGTAGGTCATAAACTTGTGTTTCAATAACGTAAGACATTGCAAAACTAGATTCCGGGGGAATATTAATATATTCTAGTGGATTTCTGTTTGCAGTATTGGGGATTGAGTTAGCTAGCACCGGGCCAGCATTGATAAAATGCTCATTAAATTGGTTTGCTATGTCACTCTTTTTGCTATAAGTCGTACTATTTCTGATTATTTTTGTAGGATATGATTGACCTTTTGTTTTCCGCTTAATTAACGTTCCTATAAGTTTCCACGTTTTCTTTAAGTTGCTTTTGTTCTTTTCAAATTGACCGGTATAATAGTTGACTTTGCTGATAGATTTTAGTTTATTTAGTTTATTAGCATATGTCTTAAATTTTTGGATTTTGTCTGGAATTTTGCTCAAAAAATGGGTATTATACATCTTTTGCTTTGTTTTAATGGATTTAAGAATGCCAATAGTTAACCAAGACTTGGAGAAATGTTTGTGTTTACTGCGCAGTAGTTGTTTAATGGGTGCGTGAGTGTCAGCTATTTGGTTAATAGTCTCAACTACTTCAGTTGTATGCGTATTTAGATTATCATTATTTTCCAAAAAGGAATTCCAATCAGTTGAATTCAGGTCATTTAAAAATAACTCCTTGTTGAAGTGTTTGTAGTCTCTGTAGAATTGTTTTTCGTGATTCTTTTTAATAGGTGTGTTGTAAAGACAAAAGACAGGTAAGTGGTCTGAGATATTATATAAGGCAATCCCAGAGGATACCTGCGAAGTCGGGACATTAGTGTAAATGTGGTCAATTAGGGTTTCAGAGTGATCGGTTAATCGAGTCGGCTTAGTGATGATTGGTGTCATATTATTTGAGAAAAGCATGTCTAAGTATTTTTCGGTTTGGATTGTGGGTTGCATATTCATAGAGGTCTATGTTAATACCACCCAAAATAAAGACGTCATATTTGCTTTGATTGAGAAAGCGAAGTGTCTCCTCTAGTCTGTTGGTAAATAATTCAAGATTTGATTTGGGATGCCGATAGTATCAGCCAATAATAATCGGTTTCCTCTGTTTAATGCCAGTATCCACCTCAATCCAGCAGGACTCAACTAAGTCTAATTTAAGTTTTAAGTCTGGCCTTTCGGTTACTTTATCGCATTTAGATACATAGATTCCAGCACCACCAGCCGCAGTTTTTGAATCAGTGTGATAAAAGTTATAATTGTATATTTCAACATTCTCAGCAGAATGTTGATTAAGTCTAATTTAAGTTTTAAGTCGGGCCTTTCGGTTACTTTATCACATTTAGATACGTAGATTCCAGCACCACCGGCCGCAGTTTTTGAATCAGTGTGATAAAAGTTATAATTGTATATTTCAACATTTTCAGCAGAATGTTGATTAAATCTAGTTTCGGTTACGGCTAAAATATCAGGTTAGTTATCATTGGTTAGTGAGAGTAATAACTCATTTACTAGGTTCATATTTTTCGGCAAGCTTCTTATATTACAATGAAAAAAAGTGAAGGCTTTGTTATTGTTTTGTTGGTCTAACCTTTAATTTAAGTCAGGCGCAGCATAATCCTGAGAGACGACATTATTTAGCATGTCAGGGTCATTTTCGTCAAATTTATCTGGGTTTGGTAAAATATCATATAAATCAGATTCGATATCGGTTCTAGTAAAGTTTGAAATATGTTCCTGAGCATTATACATAGTAAGTTTTACTTCTTAAATTTAATTTAAGTTCGATAATAAATTGATCTAATTAATGTTTAGCCAAGGAACTCTTCAAATTGTTCATTTGTTGAGAAGTTATACACTGTAGAGTTTTCAGATTGGCGTAAACAGATCTTACCATTGACGGTCCAGATATATTTCCACTTGTTTGTTCTTTTCATTAATTCGCCCAATGAGTCTTTTCCTGTATTTAGTTAACGATTCATTGATAAAGATCTTGGAGTCTCCGATGGTGTTTGTCTCGCTGATCAAAGGAATATCTTTTGCTAATTTGCCGAAAAGCTTGCCTCGGCTGTTATAGAATTTTTCTCGCATGTCACGACAGGCAAATTTCACAATGATTCTATCTTTGCTTCTCTTGGTCGGTGGTAGTCTATGTGCTGTGGAAATGTCATGTTCTTGAATATCCTCAATCCCCAGAAGTACTCCTACTTCCATGGCAATTCGCTTCGGGTCGTCTTGTGTTGGGGCAGGAATGCCATTTATTTCAATGCAGTCCCTTCTAGAGTATTGTTGCAGGTTGTCCAAAGCCGTTTGAAGACTGTATATGTCATCTTCTCTGCTTCTTAATCTATTGTCGAGTTCTTTGATCGATTTGTTAGCATCGGCAACCTGTTTCTTCGTCGTTTGAGTAGCCTTCTTGAGGCTTTCATATTCACTTGATAGCCAAACTGTTGTGAGCTTTCGATTTCATCAATTTTTTATGACAGTTTCTTCATTTCAGCACGTAGAATAGCGAAATCAGATTTAAATTCTGCTCTTATACTAGGTAGCAGTTTAGATTCCCAGAGTTTCGTGAAAGAATCAACAGTTAAGTTGCTCGAATTAGACATTATTTTGGCAGCGGCACAAAAACACGTCCGTACTCTCTCTCATGGGCAACATTTCATGGGCTACATTGATCGAGTGAATGGGGCACCATGTTGCGGGACGAACATCCAGCTTTTTAAAGGAGGGAAGGATCCATCTCTTGTGGAACGGAGAGAAGCTTTGCTAATTTTTTTGAGAGGAAACCCAAAGCAGAAGGATGAGCTAAAGGCAGGCAGCCCAACTCTTTATCAACACTTCGAGCGGGTGTGATCTATACGCCAGAGCCATATGGATCATAAAGCTCCTGCACAGTATGCCTTCATGCTAACACTTTGTTACAAGCCTGAATGTTCGCATCCTCTCTGCCATGGTGCAACTAGAGAGCAATGTTGGTTTGAAAATGGGCCACCGTTGTCTCACATTCCTTTTCTAATCCCAGATCCGAAGAGACCATGGGGTGGGTCGTGTCAAGAGTGTTCTGGCATGTGTTCTGGCCATTATCTGAAGCCATTAGCACATTGGGCTTTTGTGAAAGATCGGGCGTATGATACCGCTGAATTCCAATATAAGCCGCCAAGTGCAGTATTCAAAGAAAGGTTCTACGATTCCTTGAAGAAAGGGAAAGAAATGTTGCACATAGATTTGGAATCTGTGGCTAAACAAGTGTTGCTGTCTGTTGTTGACGTTTCGATGCAGGTAGAACATCTAAAGGGAATTATGGAACGGAGGAAAATGGGAGCTCAGAAGGCGGCTGCCTTAACCAGAAAGAACAAGAAGGCAGTTCGTAAGTGTTTAAGTATCTGAATATTGCTCTTGAAACAAGTCACATATTCATAATGACTGTTTTTATGCTTAAGACAAACTATCCGCCTGAACAAACTTAGGCAGACCTTAGTTGGATGCAGTTTGACAGTATAATTTCTTACGAAACGAAACAATAGCAGCTAGTTGCAAAAACAAACTAAGCGACAAACTAACAATCTTTGCAATTTCGTCCAGACGAATAGTTTGTGCATGGCATAAACATAAAAACGACCAATGACGTATTTTAATATTTTAATATACAGTAGAATGCAATACAGATGTCCCTGTGCCAGATGCCCCTGTCTCAGACGTCCCTGTGCCAGATGTCCCTGGCTCAGATGTCCTTGGCTCAAATGTCCCTGGCTCAGATGTCCCTGTCTCAGACATCCCTGTCTCAGACGTCCCTGTCTCAGATGTGTGGTGTTGGTGTCAAGACAAAGAATATGGGGAAATGATTCTTTGCGAAGGGAAAACTTGCCCAATTAAGTGGTTCCATATAGGATGTCTTGGATTGAAGTACAGCCCTGTTTTTAAGTGGTTTTGCCCCGATTGCCAAGGTGAGCTAAATATACGACTATTCATATTTCATAAAGTATAAAAGGTGTAGTATGCATTTATAATTGGTCGCGTTGACTTATACTGGTTCCATTTCTATGGGCCACTGACACTGTGTATAATAGGAATTTTCTTGAATTTTTACAGTCGTGCCAATAGAAGCATTTCGAAAAATGTTCATCAATTTATTTCCTAACGTCGAGAAACTTATTTCATAAGTTTGTCAAAATGTTTCTCAAAATGTTTCTACGGAGGTGTCGGATAGAACAATAGCCAATCACATAAAAGTTTATTAGGGCAACTCATAGCTGATTGGCTAAGCTGAGGTGCGAACACTTCTGTAGAAATATTTCGATAAACATTTCGAGATATTTGTCAACTGTTTTTCTCAACTTTACCAAATGAATAGGTAAAGCAAGGCAAATTTCAAGCATCTTGATCGATGAAATTAAATGTCTAGCTCTTTCTCAACGCTTTTATTGGCACGACTGTAACTATCTACTCAAGGTTTAAGGCAAATTTAATTTCTTGTTCATTGTTTAAATTTTATAGTTGCGACCAACTTGTACTGCATATGTAACCAACCCGAGTTTGGTCTAATGTTGGCATGTGACGGTGAAGATTGTCCAATACAGTGGTTTCACACACAATGCATGGGCCTTAAGCAACCACCAAGGGGTTCATGGTTTTGTACAAACTGCAAGTCGCGGAAAAAGAAAAAATGAAAAACTTTCTGACGTTCAGCGAATAAGAATGCGCATATGGTTTCGGTTCCGAGCATTTTCCAATTTTGTCATTTTGACGCGCTACCTTTGATCACATGCACTAAAACGTTTTCACTGTATGCAAATGTTGTCTCTAATTCCATCTCTCATGACTTCTTAACATTGTTTTATTTTATCAGATGGGAGTCATTTGTCACCAAGTTTGTAAAAATGTATTGCTCACTATAGCTAAGTTAAACAGTCTTCGATAACTATACTAGGATTTTAAGCTTTTCAGCGCGAAAAGGTCTTCAGATATCGTTTATAGTGTTGGAAACGTTTTTATATTAAAACGCGTTCCAATTCAGAAAAGCGCTCGGGAAAGTGATCGTGTGCACAGTCTTAGATTTGTTTGTACTTTGTATATATTTATTTGGGAAATTATTATATTAAGATATTAAGCGCTACTCTTGTTGTTTGCATGATTTGAGTCATGTATTACCTGGTTTAGACCATGAATTTATATTTTACCCTATTAACATACCAGTATATATGACCTGGCTTATGCGTCCTTTAATAATTAAAAACGGTATTATTTTACAATGGACCAAAGCATCTGACGACCATTGGCTTCATTTGAACCATTCTCCTGTATTAATTTTATAATATGCATACGAAATTTTTAAAGACCAAACGAGGTAAAGTATTAACTTTGGAGTTTTAATGGAAATATTAATGTTAGGTTTTTTATCAAACTGTGGAAATTTGAAAAAAAAACACCCAAATGTTTAGGCCCGGTAACCCGGGGATTTTAACAATTGAACAAGATTTTTTAGCCGGGATTTTAACAACCGTGAAATGTTAAAATCCCCGCATAGTCCTGGGGGTCGGGCTTTCGATTGACTAGTGCATTATATCAATATTAGCTAAATGAGTCAATATTGATATCCTCTCAATAGATCAATACATTAACAATATAAATATTATGTATATATCCTTCCTTTGTGTTTATATCTATATTGTGCCATCATAGTAAATAGCTATATTTAATATCCAGACAACCCCTGAATGTTGCTAAGGTCCTGCTCATATGATCCCGCTTACCGGGACGTCTCGCTTACCGAGACAAATATTTCCATGCGTTCATATGGAATATTTCGTCCTGCTTGCCGAGATGAAATTACATTGTAGTTCTATAATTAGCATATGCAAAACGTCTACATTTCAGTCAAGCAACACAAATACTTAGCGATTTTAGTGTTTTTTTACAAGAAAAAGTATTGCTTCAGGTGCATATTTAATACTTGTTTACAAAACAAACATAAAACCAAGTAAAAAGTGTTAAATTAAACCAGCAAGACTTGTTTGACTTCTTCCCGGTAAGCGGGCTGGCGTGTTCATATGGGAAAATTTTCATCCCGCCTACCTATGATCTCGGCAAATTCAAACAAGATCTCGGCAAGCGGGCCAGCTCGCTTTCTGATATGAACACAATGCAAAATTTTATAGGAAAATAGATAGGCGGCGAGATCATCGGTAAGCGAGATGTCCCGGTCAGCAGGATCATATGAACAGGCCCTCAATCCCCTGAATACATTGAGGATACTAGATACATGTTTGAGTTTCTCAAAGTTTATATGCCTCTGAGAATTTCCAGGCTCAAAATTTTATAAATAACAAAACTTTTAAGGGGCCACATCCATATTCATGTTGCCACAAATAACATTGAATCGACATTATGAGTGGCTGGGTTTTATGTGAACTTATCAACATTATCTCATGGCAATTTGACAATTAATGTCCAAAGTATAACTATAAAGTCAAGATACAGCTGAATATTGATTGACATTATCTGGAGTGGGTGGGTGGGTGGATGAATGAACACTGTTATACAGCAATTGTTCTTTCCTGAAGCTGAAAGTTTTAATAAACACTTCTTTCTCAGACTTACATATATTTTTGGTGTAGATTTTTATAATTTGATAATTCAAAAGGACATTGGTTTTCCAATTAGTTGTATGATTTGTAAGGGAGAATAACAACAGCTTCTGGTTCAGTTTCTGCGTAATTAGTGTTAAGGCCGAGATGGCACATCTCTTAGCCGCCCTGGACAAATGACTCATTTGACACAGGTAACACAGTTATACAGCAATTGTTCTTTCTTGAAGTTGGAAGTTTTAATAAACACTTCTTTCTCAAACTTACATATATTTTTGGTAGATTTTTTATAATTTGATAATTGAAAAGGACATTGGTTTTCCAATTAGTTGTATGATTTGTAAGGGAGAATAACAACAGCTTCTGGTTCAGTTTCTGTGTAATTAGTGTTAAGGCCGAGATGGCACATCTCTTAGTCGCCCTGGACAAATGACTCATTTGACACAGGCAACACTGTTATACAGCAATTGTTCTTTCTTGAAGTTGGAAGTTTTAATAAACATTTCTTTCTCAGACTTACTTATTTTTGGTGGATTTTTTATGCCCTGGGTACGAGGTTGCTTGCTCAATAATCACTAGTGTAAAGTCGCGTCTATCCTTTTTATAGGTATTCTGATAATAAATATTAATGCCCAGCAAAGTGCTTTTAAAAGAGCCATAAACCATTAAATTTAAAAATTTTATTAAAGATTTAGTAACGTTTCGTCTTAACTCAAGACATCTTCAGACTATATTAAATTACAAGCTGTAAGAGTAATTAAGCATAAAGTAAAGCTATCGTAGCAATATTAAATTACAAGCGAATACGAGGTACACAAAACGTAAGGATAAGAATGGATAATGAAGGGAAGTGTGGACAAAAATGAGAACATACAAATTAGACTAAATTAATTTTATAGGTGCGTAAAGAAATGCAAAAAGTTCTCCCAGGTTTTGCATTTAAGAAGTCTGTGGAAAGATTGAGAAAAGGTATTAAAAAAGTTCTACAGAAGGATGAACTGGTGAATAAAGATGTTGCTGATGCTGTTTCATTCATTGAAACGAAAACAATGAAAAAAAGGGGATCACTAATTAAGTTCAACGATGTACGTATATTCAAATTACACTTGGTGGCTGAGTTAGAGATAGTTTCTATACATGTTTGTAAGGGCAGTGTATGCAAAAAGTTTTTCCTTAAACTCTACCATTATGTTTTCTCTTCACTATAGCCATCAAGTAAGCCCAAGAATTTGTTTGAAGACAAGACGGTCCAGTTTAAACTGGTGGTACTTGGCACACCAGACGACGTTCTTCAAACCTTTGTTTCAGGCGAAGATCAGTCTTCCACATAAATTACCCTGATCAAATGACGTCTTCCACATAAATTACCCTGATCAAATGTCAGGTATCCTCTACTTCCTCCAGGATTTCACGTTAGATGTATCAGATACCACACAGCGATCCATTAAATACTCGTCTTTCGTTGCTGAACTGCAAAGCAATGTTCACCGACAGTGAACTTGATGTTACAAGTCGATTACATTGTATTCCCTTCTACGCATGTCTCAAAAACGTAAGGAAATGTACTCGATTGTGGTGGTGCATTTTGTACTCGGGTGTTATAAGTATTTTTTTTCCCTGCTACTCTTAGTGCAGTCCACACCACGCAAGCTGAAAAACAGCTCGAATCCCACCCTGGTTTTTCAGCTTGCCCTGTGTGAACTGCACTCAGAGTAGCAGGGAAAAAATACATAAGGAAATGTGTACACACTTTTTGCAATTTCGGTTTCACCTATAAGAGTTACTGAACGAGGCAAGCAAAGGGAAAGCCATACATTTGATTCACGAAAATATTTCTTTGCTTGCCTCAAAAAAAAGATTTTTGGCAAAATTGAAGACTAATTCATCATGTAACATTTTAGCTTATATGCATGCTAAGTACATGGGAAAACAAAAAGTGTAAATTCAAATCAAAACAAGAAGTGTAAATACAAATCCCGTTCATGCGTAGAAGGGACAGTAATTTAGCTTAAGTATACATTGTATTTCTTTATTCTTAAAGGGATATGGCAATATAAAATTAGATTTTCGCACTTGAAAGAACTTTCAAAATTATATGTTGAACTCTTTTACCATTTTTTTTATATCTTGCTTAGTTCTTGAAATATTTTGACTTAAAGTAATGAGATGTCGCCATCTTGGATTTTTGCAGATATTGCTTGAAAACCACTGAACCTTATGAGTTGAAAATTATTCTCTAGATACCCTTTGAAATAACAAAATATCTGCAAACATTTTAAACATTAACCAACTGGGGTTTTTTTGCCACCAAGGGGTCCTTTTATATGGCTAACCCTACTTGTGGCGTCACCTAAAACCAGCATTAATGAGATAAAAAATAATCCAAGATGTCAGACATTCCATTGTTGTCAGTCATTGTATGTAAAAATATTTCGAAGAAATATTCGAATATTTCGAATATTTCTTTTAAGGTGTGTTGTAGTAGCACACCTGGCAAGGTGTGTTGTGTTAGCACATGTTTCAAGGGTGTTGTATTAGCACACCTTGTAAGGTGTGTTGTATTAGCACACCTTGTAAGGTGTGTTGTATTAGCACATCTTTCAATGGTGTTGTATTAGCACACCTTGTAAGGTGTGTTATATTAACACACCTTAAGTTATGCTAACCAATACACCTTGAGGTGTGCTACTATAACACACCTTTGCATGCTGCCTAACACACCTTTCTTA